GAAGCATCAGCACTGTGTCGTAAATGAAAATCTTCTCGGGCAGCGTTTGCTACAACAAAGCCAGTGAGGAATAAACAACATATATTCTTTACCCACAGACCATGTGTTCAAGAATGTGAATTTTTCAACCAATTTGTCCTCTGTGTAGGGGAGAAGGAGGAGAGAAAAAAAATCTAGCCCCAGAATTGCTTTCCAACCTGGGAAAGCGACTCTGTTGTGTGAGGAGTTGGCAGGTCTCAGCTAATCCCCAGCTTGTCTGCTTCGGTTTGCCTCGTGATCTTGGCAGAGCCTGAGTTTCCGGAGAGCCGTGCTTATGCCGGCTTCACCGTTTAAAAAGTTTAAAAGTTAGTTTTGTTAGGGAGACAAGCCCTCTAGAAGCCTGGTGCTTTTATTACTGGCTGCAGCAATACTGTGAGGAAGAATGTTAAACACATGGATGCTTTTCTGGGCGGGAGCTGTGGGCTTCTGCACTTGCCCGTGCTGTCTTTGTGCACACACTTGTTGGCTCTGGCCCTCGCGCGGTGCTGAACAGCCTTGCGGTGTTTCGTGGGGTTCAGCTGTGAGCCGGTGCTGTGCTGGAGCACGCGCAGGCTGCTGGGGTGCCCTGGGCTGCGCGGGCAGCGCCGTGGCTCTCCTGGAGCTGCTGACCTGCTCCCGTGGTCACCCTGAGGGAAGGTGGCACCGGGCACCAGGACTGCTTCCCACGCATGGTCTGCAGGTGATGCACAGCAGGGCCGCCCCTCCTGGTGGCCTTGGCATCCTGCTGGGTGCTCTCCAGTCCCCGGGGAGCTGTTGGAAATAGCAGAAGGGCTCACAGCTCCACTGTAACCTCTGTGAGCAGGAGGTTGACCTGCAGTTCTAGCTTGTCTTCTTTTTTTTTTTTTTCTTTTTTTCTTTTCCAGACATTGGTTGTTTTGGTTTTTCTCCTTCACCTTCTGTGTGTTGGCACTTGAGAGGGACGAGAGATTATGGTACTTGCTGCTCCACGGAGTCCTTTCCCCCAAATTAAAGCGCTGAGATGGGTTCGTGTTAACGAGTGGGAATTGGACTGAGAAGTTAGTGACTTGTGCTGCTGCAGGAGGCGAAGCGAGCGCTGCCTGGCGCACGCACCTTCTGTCTGCACACCAGAAATGCTGCGGCTGCTCAGTGCTATAAATAGAAATGCTCGAGTCGCCTCTTGTCAGTGTGGATTTTGAACATACACTGTTTAATTTTCCCTGCTGTCCTTTTGATGCTTTGATTGTCATGGAGAAAAAGATATTAAGGGGTGAAATACTGATTTCTCAAAAGTAGGAAAGCTTCTTTTTTGTTTATTTATTTTAATGTTGACATTTTGGCTTCAGAAACCAGCATGGTCATAGTGCAATAAGTCTATTCTTAGCAGGAAACTCAGTATAGTTGTTTGAAGGCAGGAAGTGCTTTTCTTGTACTTAATTCTCACCTTAAAGTGTGTCTGTATAGCAGAATTTAAAAGGAGGTGCAGGAGGAGAAAGGAGACAAGGGGATAAGGAACTAAAGTTTGAGGACATCTGATAAATTTACTTGTTGATCTTCCCTAATAATCATCTTGCTCGGCTTCCCTGTGTGTCACAAGATGCTGATGATACCTACTTCAAAGATAGTTTGCAAGGATTAACGCTCGTGAAGGCCTTTGCAGATGAGAAAGCAGGAGCTGAAATACCCAAGGATTTGGGTAAAGTTTTCATGCCTCAGATAAATGTTGGGTGAGCTGTCTTGAGGTCTGCTTGTTCTCTCGAGCACGTCCAGGTGATGGGTCAGAAAGCTGATTTGGGGGACTTGCTTCACTTGGGCCATGGTGATGAACACGTTTTGCAGGTATTGGGTCATGTGCCGGGTGTGCAGAGTTACCTGCGTGGACATTGACTCCCCTGAGGAAAGGAAGATTCTAACCCATGGCCTTAATCGCATAGGCCGTTCATAAGAATACATGTAGCAGGTTCTTCCCGAAGAAGGTGCCGTTACAGCCTGTTCTCTTTGCTCTTCCCTAGGGCAAGCTTCTCTTCTTTACCCTCACGGGGGTCCCGTGCTGTGATCTTTAGGACTCGCCAGGATCTAGCAGCACTGAGCTCCTCAGCCTCCAGGGAGCCTCTGACGAGTGGGAACAGCAGTGGCCTCTACCTCCTGTGGAACTGAATTCCTTGAGATATTTTCCAAGGAGATTACTGTATCTTGTTTGGACTCCCCGGAATTCCAGAGTGGTTGAGGTTGGAAGGAACCTCTAAAGATCATCTAGTCCAACCCCCTGCTCCAGCAGGGACATCCCCCTTGCAGCACAGAAGGTGGATTCAAGTGATAGTGCCAAGGTGTAGATGGACAAGGACGGTGTTGGTTAAGTAACAGGAGAGCCTCTGGACTGGCAAGGTACATGGAACCGTGCTTGTGGTGGTGATTACAGCTGGACACCCCAAGAGCCAACTTGTCCTATGAGGGTTTGGGCTTAGAGGAGCTGTATTAGGTGCTTGCATGTTTTAACTCTCTTGGTTCACGTGCGTGTTCACATGCAGTTCCTAGCTCTGTTGCACGTGCAGTCACCTTCTAGCCTGGTTAGCTGCACAAAGGCAGGGCATTTTGGTGCCTTACTGCCCACCTGGCAGATGCTTCCATAGCCCGTGGTGAGTGGCAGCCTGTGTTTCTTCTAGCTGCCTTCCACTTGGGGCACTTCCCCGACTGTCTCCTGCAGGAGGCCGTTTCTTGCTGGTTTAGGAATGGCCGGCTTGGATTACAAAAGCAATGATCAGCAAGATAGTGCAGGCAAATAGAGGCATAGGAAGAGGGGATGGCTTGTTTGGAATTGCTGATGAGGCTAGAGGATTGCGGACCCTGTTTTACAGGGTTCTTCTTATTTTTTTCCTTCCAGATTTTGGGAGGAAACTCCATGTTTATGGGGAGCAGGATAGCAGAGATGAACTGATAACTAATGACCTCCCAACAGGCCATCCTTCCTCCGCTTCCTTGATCCTGGTGGATATTCCCCAGGCCTGCAGTGCCGTGGTTTGCTGCCTAGCAAGCTCGTGCTGTGGGATGGATACGGCCGGATCGGTACCCGGAGTTTGCTCAAGCCCGACCGTGTCCTTGGGCGAGCTCCTTGGCTCTGCTTTCCTCGGGCCTCCGTCTCACCCCCTCGGCTGAGCGGCCGCCTCGGAGGCCACCAGAACGAGCCCCGTGTTGGCTTAGACACGGAGCAGCCTTTGTTCTGCTCCTGCTTTATATGACGGGCCCCGTCTCTCCCCTTACTGTGGATATGGCCGTGTGTCAGCCCTCTCCCCACAGAAGTGCACCAGGGCTGTTGCCCAATGTCTTAGATTGCGTTTTTACTCCCCTGCGTTGGCATCTTGGCTGTGAAGTGGGTGGGTGGGTGCAGGGGTGTGTGTCTGGAGAGAAAAACAATGCTGCTTTGGGGCAAAGGGTGGTCAGGGTAGGGCCAGGACCACCTAAATCTCTAACAGCACCTTCCTGGCATCTGCCTAAGCTCAAGGATCCTCCTGTGAAGGAGATGTTACTTCACCCCCCAAATTTGGGAAGCTTTGTGACTTGTCTCTCATGGCAATACGTTTTCTTATCCTCCTCTTGCTCAGATATAAGCGGAGACTTAATGAACTGTAGATAGTTTTGTCACCAGCTTGTCGTACGGTGTGTTCTTTTGATCACCTGTCGTGTTTAGGGAAGAAGAGCATTTTTGGTGTTCTTTGGTGTGCAGAATGTCTCTGCTAGAGCTGTCACCGATCAGGCTTTTAGAAGCGAGTGGTTCTTGATTTCTATTTTACAAGGCTGAGGAGTGGGGAGGGGAGGAACAGAGTGAAAAATACCTTTCTCGGAGCGCTGCTCTGTGACCATGAGCAATAAAATTGCTCCAAAGATCAGCTCCAACTTTGGAAAGTTTGATCATGTAGCTTAAACACCAGATGGGCCCCACAGAGCACCCTTGTCCTCTACCTTTACCTCCCAAAAAGGTTTTTCTTGTACTACTAAAAATTCTCTTCAGGCCTCTAGAGACCTGTAGAAAAACTGGCAAATACTTAGTAACAAGAAATGAGAACTGGGCAATGTTTGTGTTGAAAACGCTGTGGCCTGGGTTTCACTACTTTCTGGCCTTTTGTTGGAATTGAGAGGTCTGCCTTTTTCTTCCCAGAAGAAATGTTTGCTTTCCACAGACACTAACAATTTGCACATCCTGGCTTATCCGACACTTGTGCAAATATTTGGAGTTTTGTGCATCTCGTGTCTGGCATGCCAAAGGTTCACGTGCTGGCTGGGGTTGCTGCCATCATTGAACATTCGAGTATCTAAACATCTTTTTAGAGCTCAATTCATGTTTTGCAAAAACATTTAGAGTTGGGAAGATGTTCTTCAGCTAAACCGTTTTGATATTTTTGAGCAAAAGCAATTTAAAAACGAGGTTTCTAAACAGCAATACTTGAAATAAGCAGATAAGCTTCTGAATAGGAGATACGTGAAAAGGACATTGTATGTTCCCTTCAGCCCTCCCTCCTAGTTTTTTTGCACCCGTTTCTGGATCTGATGCATTGCTGGTGAATTGGAGTAGCTAAAGCAGTGTTCTGTGCCAGGTAGGAGTCCAAAGGGCTGTGCTTTTCTGGATAACAGCTGCCTATTTTCAAGTTAATGAATAGTGACCTTAATGTGTCCTAGCTGATCTGAAGGGAGAAGGGTCTGGACGGGCTGACCTTACCCCAAATATTCTTCTGTGTTTGTGGTGATATCTCGTGTCCCTCGAGGGCAGGTGTTGAAGAGGGGTTTTCTGTTATCTTGTGTCCTGTATTATGGTAAAAAAGCTTGGTGACTGTTGATGCTGAAAAGCCCTTTAATGGCTTCAAGCCAAAAGCAAATGAAAGCATCTACCCAGCCGGTTTGTGTTGAATCCCTCTTTTCTCCGTGAGAACTGGGGAGCAGGAGGAACTTTCCAACCCCCATCTTTTGCTTGTTCTCACGAGTCCTCCCAATCTTTGCTCTCCCCTGTGCAGCGGCAGCCGCTCTTCCAAGACCTTCAAGCCCAAGAAGAACATCCCGGAGGGCTCGCACCAGTACGAGCTGCTGAAGCACGCCGAGGCCACGCTGGGCAGCGGCAACCTCCGCATGGCCGTCATGCTGCCCGAGGGCGAGGACCTCAACGAGTGGGTGGCAGTGAACAGTAAGTTGGCCCAGCTGTCTCGGGCGAGGGGGGACACCGATTGCCTCGCCAATCCTTTGGGATTGCTCTCCTCCTCCTCCTCCTCTCCCTGCTGCGTGGATTTGGGAGCTTGCTGCTGGCCTCAGGGAATGGCTTAGCCCAAGTCCTGTTGTCCTGTGTGGCCCATGCAGGATTTGGGCTGCCACAAACCGTGGGCTCTATCTGGTTATTTACTGGCCTTCTGTGTACAGTCAATAAAGCCAACTGCTAAGCTGGCTGTACACTGCAGTGCAGTATAGATTGTACTCAAGGTAGATGCCCTATTTTATGTAATTCTCTCTGTTTCTGCTTGCTCTTTGCCGTGGCTTGGAAGTGAAACCATTCTTTTGACCTCCGTTTTCCAGTTCTTCCTTGGCCACCTGGTGCTCTGGATCAGCTGCCCCTGTTGCAGGGACTGTTGAAATTGCCCATGCTGTTCTTCATTAAAAATGGTTCACACTACCTAAACAAAGTCAGCCAGTCTTTATAAGTAAGCTTTACTAAGAACCCTCTGTATATTGGTTGCAACCTTCTGGGTTTTTTTTCAGTGCATCTCCCCTTCCATGTCCTTCCTTTCCTGTGTGGCAGCAGCCTTTTTACCATCCCAAACAGTTTGGCTGCTGAATTAGCTGGGTGGCAAAAGGCAGGGAAGCACTTGACAAAAGCAAGTGGACGTTGCCTCATGGTCACAGCTGTCTTCTACAATGAAACAGTTCTCTCCCACGCCTCACTGCAGCAAAGCAGGCCTTTGATTTTTACCTTTTTTTTTTCCCAAAGTGACTAAAGTGGCCTATTGAACTGCTGAGAGTATCCCTCTGCTGCCCCTGTACCAGCTAATGGTGACTGTGAGCCTCTTCCTTTGAGTGAGGTGTTGAAATAGTAAACACAGGTGTTGTTTATTGTGGTTGGTTTTGCCCTTTGCTCACAGATGCACTTTCCTAATTTTTGCTCACAGATGCACTTTTTTTAATTTTTGCTCAGCCCACAGCCCTGGGCTGAGCTGTGGGTCATTCTGGTAACGAGTTGACTACGTGTGGTTTTTAAAAGTATGTGCTTTCAAACGAAAAGAAGTCTAAGATAATAAATGTCATCAGTTTCTTAGTTTTATTTGAAACCCCCCGGATTGCAAAAGCCTTAAAAACAAATTGAGAAATGCAACACCCCCACTGCTTTATAATTGATAAATGTGTCTTCTGTTCCCCCAAGAAATAAGGGCAGTACCTAAGGGCCTCTGGCTGTGTTTGCAGTGTTAAATGCCACCTCTCCCTGCCCCAATAAGCTTTAGCAGTCCTCATCCTCTGCTGCTTGTCAGTCCTTCCCTACTCTGTTTGCTCTTTTCTGCTGTTCCAGGGGGTGGGAAAAAAGCCTGTGGCTGGAGATGGCTGGATGCCCTACCAGGTTTTGTTTGCTTCCCTTTTCTGATACCTGGGAAGTGCTGTGAGGGAGTTGTATCTTGTGGTCCATGTCTGCAGTAACTTGCTGCTGTGATGTGCTTGTAGATTTTAGTGTTTCTTCTCTTGAGAAATCAGTGAGGAGAGCTAAGGTATTTGTGCCTTGCCTTTTCCTCAGTCCTGTTCCTCTCACTGTGCGTGCTATCTGCAGGTGTTGAAATTCAGGATGTCAACATCCTTTTCATTAGTGGACATGTCATTCCCTGTAGATTTAAGATTAGATTAGATTAAGATTCCCTGTAGATTAACCAATTTGGATTGGCTACCAAGTAACGTGGGGTGGTTTGCAGCCATGGCCCTGGCTTTCCTTTAGCTGAGCACTGGATCAGGAAGACTGTGTTGCTGCTCTTAATTCCACCCGGTCCTGCAGGCGGGTCGGATGGGAACATGCCCTGCCGTGAGCTCCCACAGACGGAGCCGGTCTCTCAGCTGCACAAGTGGCCTTGGGAGGTGGCTGCTAAATGAGCTGCCAGGCTCCCGTTGTGCTCTTAAGGGCCAGGGGCAACGCGGCGTGAACTGAGCATTGGGACATTAACCTCGTTTTTGCATTGCATGCAGTGCTGTTCAGCTTCAGGGCATGCTGGTGGAGTAGTTAAATGTATAGAGCACTGTGGCTGAATAGCAGGGGTTGGGTTCCCCAGCGCTTGATCTGCGTGTTCTTGTGACTGCTGAATCTCCTGCATGGATTGCGAAGCACAAGCACAGACACTCAAGTCAATCCCACCAGACTTGAGTTCATGCCTGTTTGTATTCCTTGGGTTCATGCAGAAGCAGCAGTTACAGCAGTTGTTTATTTTAGGAGAAGGGAGTAGGAATATTTAGTGCAGCTATTATTCTGGAATCATGTCCTGCATTTAGTGGTAAGAAGTTAACCCTGCCACGTTGGACTTTGACTTCCTAATGCTTCCCATTGGTCCCTTTTAAATTTCACCCATGACATCAGTGTTTGAAAGTCGTTTTGAAGTGGTAAAACTTACATCTTGATGCCCTGGTAGTTCTCTGTGCTTCTCAGCAATTGGAAAAAAGCTCCAAATGGAGGCTCAAAGGATAGTTCATAATATTTCCTCGTTTGTAAACTAGCCAGTGGTTTGTGGTAATGAATTGATAATTGATAATCTGAGGAACAGAATTCCCTTCACTAACCCTGTCATGCCTTCTGTTCATCCTTCCTCCTCCTTGTGTGTAGTGTTTTCGTGTAGCATAAATGTTCTTGGCAAGGATTATCCTTTGGGATATGAGGCCTGCGGGATGTTTGTTTGTGTCAGCTAATGAGCAGCAGTTTTCTCTACTTGGATAGTTTACACTTGAAAATGTTTGTTTTATTATAAACTTGCCAGTAGAATTTGGGATTCTATTAGAACGTGCCAGGCGTTTGGAAGAGGAAATAACTCTGCTTTCTCTTCCTTTCTGGAATGAAGATTTTGCTATAGTGGGAAGTGCAGTAGCTCTTGCCAGAGGCTATTTGAGAAATGAGTTGGTGGTCGTGTTCCACACTTTGTGTATATCTCAGAAAAATCCATAGCAAAGAGGTTCTATCATAAGGGGGCTGGAATGTGTAGATATGTTTTTCAGCACTGTGTGTTTTGCAATGGAAGCTGCAGGAAGCCTGCACTGCCATTATGCTGCAGAGGGATAATTCCTGTTTTCAATGCTTCACAGCTGTCGACTTCTTCAACCAGATCAATATGCTGTATGGAACCATTACAGACTTCTGCACAGAGGAGAGCTGCCCCGTGATGTCTGCTGGCCCAAAGTAAGATCGTGCTTTACACATCACTGAGAATGCACAATTTGTGAGATTAGTCTGCATGTGGAAACTGGAGACTAGCTCAGTTCTTTGCATGCTGAATATAAGGTAACTTCTGTAGCTGGAAGGGATATCTCCTTAGCTAAGAAAGGAGAAAAGCTGCAAGCTTTGTAAGAAAAGTTGGAAAAATAAGAGTTCTCTCCCTTTGCTGCTTTTCTTTTTCTTCTTTATTATCATTTTTTTTCATTTAGCCTGGGAAATAGCACTACCAAAGTTATTCTTTTGGGGGAGGTTCAGATGTGTTGCTGCGAACTTCCCAAATACAAACTTCAAGCTTTTATCTTCAAGCATGGAGTTAGGGTGCTCAAAAACCTTTCCTTGAGGTATTACCATAAAGTTTTGTAAAAAAGAACCTTAGCTACGGCTTTGAGCGGTTCAAATAAAATATTCTCCTGCCCTGTCCCTCAGCTAAGTTTCACTTCCTTGATTCTTGTTGATGCTTTTGTACAGACTTTGAATATTTGTGGTGCTGCCTGCTCTCCAGCAGCTTTGTGTTTTCCAAAGAGGAAGATGCCTGCATTTCTGAGTTGGTGGAGCGAGAGGGCACTGCTTCCTTTTAAGCTACATGAGAATCTTAAATAAGCAATAAAGAAAGGAAAAATAACCCTCTTGTCCAGATTTTCTGCCTTATAATGAAACTTGGTGCTGTTGTCTGAGGTGAGACCTGGCAGCTGCTGAGATGTGCAGCCGAGGAGGGACAGCGGGCGCTCGAGCTCTGCAAGGTGAAAGCAGCCAGGCAGATGAAGAGGAAAAGCTTTGGCACTGCCTCCGTTAGCTCCCTTAGCTCAGCACAGCCACTGCCGAGTGCCGCAAGCAGCGTGGGCCCGCAGGGCTGCTGCTGCACACCACGCAAGGGGCAAAATGTAAAGCAAATACCAGTTTGCTATTATTAAAAAAACAAATCTTTGGGAAAAGCTTGTGCGACCACACAGCCTGTCGCCTGCTCTGCTCTTCAGAATGCAGAACAGACTCGTGCTTATTAAGAAAGATCATGAAAATATTTGTTTTATTGTCTGAGGAGAAGCAGCTACTTGGGGGCTGAGGTTCCTCAGCGGCTCAGCTGTCTGTTTGCCAATGTAAACAATTTATGCCTCTCCAGAGGGACCAATTGACAAAAATGTGTCTAGTGCTCAGTAATTGTGAAGTGGGCAGAGAGGAGACTCTGCGGTTCAGGAAACGAGTCCTGCAGAGCTGGCGACTGGGAGCCATGCGTTTGCAGGACGTCGCGCAAACCCTGTGGTTTCCACCCGGTGACCTGGGACACCAGCCGTGACTGGCAGCGGAGCGCAGGCTGTGTGCTCAGTGTGGGTGAGCTTGGCCAGCCCTTGAGTGCACCTGCAAGGCTTTCTGAGGTTTTTCTGGGAAAAAAAACTACCCAAGTGGTGATCTTTGCAGTGTTTTTGTGTGTCTTTTCCCTCTTTCCTTGCTCCAGCTGCACCAATGGAAGAGGCATTGATCTTTGCAGCGTTTTTGTGTGTCTTTTGCCTCTTTCCTTGCTCTCCTTGCTCCAGCTGCACCAATGGAAGAGGCATTGATTCGTAGGTGTCTTCTACGGCTTCTAGGCTGAAGGCTGCTGTTTATTTTGCTGCCCCAGCTGCTGTTGTCACTGCATCCTCATCTATTGCAATAGAGGGTGACTTAGCTGAACCCCATGTCCAGGTCATTTTGTCTGGAAAGAGGTTAGGCAGTTAGGGAGTTACAAGTTAGGGAGAAGTGACAGCCGCAAGCTCTCTTGCTATCAAGTCTGGTTTGATTTTTCTTCCTGTGCAATTCAAGTCCTATAAAGTTGCTCACTTCCCAGTATAACTTCATCTGTTTTGGGGCTTTTCTTTGAGTAGTTCAGTGTTTGGGGGACCTAAAGCAAACCTGCAGTTATGCTTGAATTCACAGAGATAGACTTTTCCACTGGAAAAATGCTTATGGTCCATATATTGAACAAGGATTTTAAGATGCTAATGTGCACAACGTGGTCAGATACCCATTAGGTTCCAGTCCCAACTTGTGACAAGCTTGTAGCAGCCTATGGAAAATTGAGCAGACGGCTTGTGTGGGAGGGGAACCAGAGCTTAGGTCTGGAATTTCCTGTACCCACTGCATGGTACTGCTGTTCAGTGCTCAGAACATGTTTAAAAGAATAAATTAACCTTTTGCCGATGAATAGGCCGTCCATCTTTCATGCATGGGTGTTCTCTGCTAGTCTGGGACACGGGGAGAGCTGCCTTTAAAGGGCTGCCTTTGGGAAGGGGCAGATGTGTGGGGCCCTGTGCTGCTGCTCGGGCTGCCTCGCTCCTTCATTAGTGACCTTGGAAAGAGGGGCTTAGCTGAGCATGTGGCTTCCTGGCCTGGGTGGGAGGTGGGGAGCTGAACACAGTTTGTTAAATCAGGAGAAAATAATAAAATTAAAAAAAAAAAAAGGCACCATCTAGGCCTTACTGCCAGCGTGCCTGTGGTGGCTTCGCTCCCCTTTCTGCTGGACCAGTCTCTGGAAGAGTAGCCGTGTTACCCTTTAACAAGGTGTTAGTACCTGGAGTTAGTTAATGGTTGACATGCAGTTCAGGAGCAGAGCTCTCTCCAGCTACACAGCTCGTTGTCTTAACCCAGGGAAAAAAGCCAGAGCCTTAACCATAGTGTTGCTCCAGACCTGCTTGCCCATGGGTTTGTTCCCTTCCTTCAGCACAGGCAGATCATTATTAGCCTGACTAGTTGGTGGCCACTTTTTGTTGTCTTGTAAGAGCTGTAGCACCACCATCAGTGGAGCAGGCATGATAAAAACCTATCAATCTCCCTAAAAATAATATGCTCCTTGACTAGGAGGGTGGAGAGGGAATTTTATTTTTCTCCTTGGTGTAAGTCTTCAGGGAGAACACCCAGCATGTGGCTGCTGCACTGTCCCAAGCTGGGTGTCTGAACCGGGACTCCAAAGCCCAAATGTAGGGGCATTTGTGTGAGGGATTAAATGCACCTCCCGTGTTGCACCTCCCGCCTTCTGACCTGCCTGAGGTTTGTACGTGCTGTTTTAGATAAAATTTTGGGAATTATCTAATTTGATCCTGTTATAAAAATGGTATTTTATGCCATTGTTAGCAGCACACATTGATCAATTGTGTTTGGGGAAAATATTCTCCTGGTTACTGTTCTGACAGCACAACTGAATATTTTGAACAGAATTTTAAGCCAGATTTGATCAGAAATAGTTCAAATGACTGCTGTCAAATGGTCTGTACCTCGGAGACCTTTACAGATGTCCTCACACGATTAATTGCAGGTAGCAAAGGCTTAAAAGATGGCATTCACTGCCCAAACTTGGTGGCCTTCTCCTATGTAGTATGAAATGAAAATCAAAGAGAGGAAGCTGTCCCCCCTGAAAAGAACAAATCTCAACTGTCGATACCATCTCTTTGGATTCTCTTCCAGAGAGCTTGGGGAGAGCTTGCAGATTAGGTGGGTATGTTTGCTGTAAGAGGTGGCAGCGGCGGGGAGCTTTGCTGCTGCCCGGAGCCGCTGCTGGTGAGTTGCTCTGGGAGGGCCGCGGAGCTCGGCGGGGCCTTGGCCGTGCGGATGGTGCCTCCTCAGCAGCGGGCTCTGGCTGGCTGAGGCCGCGGGAGATGACGCCGGGCTCGGGTGGAAGCGCTGCCGCCGCACCAGCTCCGGCCTAATGAGGAGGAACTGCCCGCGCGTTAAGGACCAGTGAGGAGTGTTAAGATGTGTGCATTTGTACCCGGCAAAAATAGAAACGCTGGTGCGCGTGAAAACTGACACTCACACTCTGAATGTTAAATGTGATTTTTTTTTTTTTGACATTGTTCTCCAGTTTAGCCATCTTGTTTTTTGTGCCTTGACAGAGGTGGAATTGCTATTCCCAAACCAGGAAGTAGGTCTGTTCCATTTTAATTTTGTGAAGGCTTTTTCTGCGTGGTCGCACGTGTAAGCGGATAGTGCTTTCTGTGGTTTTCCAGGGCTCTTAAAATTCCTGATAAAGGGTGCTGTATAAAAGATCTTGACGTTATTAGTCATACAAATAGAAAAGAATAAAACCAGCACAAGCTTTATTGATGTGGCTGTTGGGCACTCCCAGTTGCATTGCAGTTCTCTGCAAATAGAGTCCAAGAAACCCCTTTGCTAGGGCTGGCTTGATGAACCAAGTGTCCTTGTGGAGCGCAGGCCTGGGCCGGCTCAAGGTGGAAACTGGTCCAATGCATCCGCCAGCTCGAGCCTTTGAGCTAAGCTTTTATTTGTATATGGGAACCCCTTGCAACTTTTTGATGTTTCAGTTCAACAGGTTATCATTATTAAAAATAAATAAAGAAAAAGCTTTCAGAAGGACTGAGTAGTAGCCACCTTTTTTAAGGAGAAGCGCTTTGTGTTGGAAGCCCCATCCTACAGCATCTTTCTGATGAGCTGTGATATTTTGACTGCAGGTTGCCACGTGCATTTGTCAAGTGTTGAGTGAGTCTTGTGCCTGTAAGGGAAGATGTTTTTGGAAGGCCTTGACTACCTACAGAGCAGGGGCCCGCTCAGGTCCACTTGTGATGGGACTGGGTTGCAAGGAAGAGCAGTGGGAGCCTGTGGGAGTGAGGGGAATGGAGCAGGAAGAGGAACCTTCCAGGGCTCTGTAACACAATTCACTTGTGCTAAGAAATGTCTTGTTGTTGTCATCCCCAACTAGATACGAGTACCACTGGGCGGACGGGACCAACATCAAGAAGCCCATTAAGTGCTCGGCACCAAAGTACATTGACTACCTGATGACTTGGGTCCAGGATCAGCTGGATGATGAAACGTTATTTCCGTCTAAAATAGGTAAAGTAAATGGGAACAACGTGTAGAATAGGACAAGTGTGAAAGGTTGTGTTAGATGTAGAAAGACTCTGTGTTTAGGTAAAATCTAGGTATTAGTGTATAAGCTCTGATCCATATCTTAATGCTGTTAATAAAAGTGTCCAAATTCAGAATGTAAGAAATAATGTTTCTGTTCAGTAACTGACCTTTTCAATGGAATGTTTTGTTTTGAATTTTTAAAGAGCATCTTGTTGCCCTTGAAATAGATGAGGCTATCAACACCCTGTAAACAGTAAATTTATGCAAAACCCACTTTTTTTTTGATGCAGAAAAGATGCTGGTTCTTCTAAGACACTTCTCTTGCACCTCCCCTTGCAGGAAACAGAACTGCATCTTTGATCCTAAATGCTTATTTTTTTTGTCCTTTCAAATGAAATGAAAGATGTATGTTTTGAAGGAGATTTCCCTCATTAGTGAGGAAAGGAACAGTCCACCCCCAGTTCTGATATGATACCAACAAGAAAAATCCTGCTTCTAGAGGCATGAAGAACTATTTGTTGCAAAGCTCCTAACTGGCAGTTTTCCAGTACACAACTAGTACTCCTTGACCTATGATCCATTATGGGAAGAGAAAAAAAAAAAAAAAGAGGGAAAAAAAAAGGGGGGGGGGAAGATTTCTAGCTTGTTTCTGTTTTGTGAGGAGTTTCTGAAGCATTTGACAGATCTTCAGTAAACCTATTCAGAGAAACAAGGCCACCTGTCAGGATCAAGTGGCATTTGTTTTAGCTGGGAGTAAACAGAGATGCGGGGGAGGCCGGTTTGTTTGCAAAGAAGTGACAAGAATGTCTTTGCTGCTCAGCGAGTGTCACATCTGCTTGCAGCGTGACAGTCATTGTAGTGTTTCATGGTAGCGTTCAGAGCCAAGGTAGGAATTTGCTACCTTGCAAGCAGGAATAACACAAACTCTCCCAGTTCTGTACTCAAGTTGGGCCCGAAAGACTCAGGACTTCATCTTCTACTGCAGCTTGTGCTGCTGTGAAGTTATTGTTTTTCTTTTCCTGGGATGAGGTGTGGGATATAGTCATGAAAGACAGGGATTCAGAAAGGGATGTAAAGGTCACTGTAAAGGTCCATAATCATATTAGTAGTAGCTAATGAGACAGCTTGTGAGACAGTAGTCAGTGAAGGAAATGTGATGTACATTCAACCATGGTAAAATTCTGTTTATTTCTGTAAAGCATTAGTGACAACATGACAGAGCACCCAGCTTTGGCCTGTGACCCACAGGCAGGACTGGAGCACTTGGACAAGCTGTGAGAGGGCTTAGCCGAGGGCGAAACCTGCTGCCTAATGGGGAGCTGAAAAGGTTCAGCCTGTTTAGATGGGTGATGCACGATCAATTTGAGCTTGTGCCTTTGTCACTTAGAGAACATTGCTCCCATTCCCTGGCTGCTCTTCCTTGAACCATTTTTTTTTTCCACCTCATGCCTGAACAAACTGATGGAACCTGATTTAGCTGCCCTGGGTCATTTTCACTAAAAAACACCCCAGGGGGCCTGTTGAAGTCTTTTTAGCAGGCAGATAAGGAAGCGTCTGGCTGAAGGATGGTGCTGAGCAGAAGGGACGTAGGTGTTCCTTGAGTGTGCAGCATCTTTTGTGCCTGTGGTGCCTTGCACTTGCCTTCACAGAAGTCCCTGAGGTGCCTTTGCTGCCTGGGCCACCTGCACAGGACACACAGCCAAGGTCAGAGCCTTGTGGGTTGGACATGGAAATGTGATGGCATTCAGCTTGGAGGAGGGAATTCTGCAGCTGCAGGCAGGGAAAACCGCTCGCCATGCGCTGAGCTGCTGGGGGAAACGAAATAGCTCTCGGGCAAGAGGCAGGGTTGGATTGTGGTGTCTTTCAACAGCAATGAATGTGACACGTGTGTTTAAAAACATGCTATTTTATTATTATTATTATTTCTAGGTGTCCCTTTCCCAAAGAATTTCATGTCAGTGGCAAAGACTATTTTAAAGCGGCTCTTCAGAGTTTATGCTCACATCTATCACCAGCACTTTGATCCAGTGATCCAGCTACAGGAAGAAGCACATCTGAACACTTCTTTCAAGCACTTTATATTTTTTGTTCAGGTGAGTTTGGCAGCAGCAATAGGATATTGGCTTTATTGTGGAGGAAGTAATGTATCAAAATATAATCCCCATTAAGTTTCTTAACAGCTGATGAGTTTCTGTGACTGGACACCTCGTGACGCCCAACTGTGTCCTTTTCTGTTTGTATCTGTATTTGTTTCTGTAATTACTGCTGGGGCTGGAAAATTGGATTCAACCAAAATGTTTGTACTCACTTCCAGATAAGTAAATGTAACAGTACCTGGTAACAAAGAGGGAGGACAGCATTGAAACCTTGTTGAAAAGAGTCTGTTCCTGCACAAGCTCCGTTCCTCCTCTCGCTGCCTCAGCAAAGAGCACCCCGTGGGCTGGGGACAAGGCTTGAGGCAGTCTGAGGTTTGCCATACAGCTAAGAGCAGACAGACAGGAGCTGCTCTAGTGGCCAAGCCTGGGCTTGAAGAGCCGAGTGCCAGGTGTCTTCCTTCCAAACGAGATTTCTGCCTTGAATTGCGCAAATAAAACCCGCTGCGAATGTTACGGCTTTCTGTTCATCCTCGTTACAGGAATTCAACCTTATCGACAGGAGGGAACTCGCACCACTTCAAGAACTGATTGAAAAACTCACCTCTAAGGACAGATAAAAGGAAGAGGAGTTCTTCAAGTCACTTGTTTGTTTAAGCGAGCGTGTGGTATTTGTTTTTTGTTCATTTGTTTTTTTTTTTAGAAAAAAACAAGATGACACAAAAACTTGCGCTGTTATTGCTGACAGCCAAGCTCTACTTTCTGTGCTTTTATTAGGGGAAATCTTTTGTCTGTTAGTGACACGCAGTAAATAGCCTTTTTTTTTTTTTTTTTTTCTCTCCCCCCTGATTGTTGTTATTCACTGTGGATTTTTAGCAGGTGCTGAGTGTTTGTAAAGGAAACATGCTTGGATGGGGGATTGATTCTGCTGGTGGATGGGTTCTGTATCGTGTCAGTGGTAGCCCATTCTCATGAAGTCCCAAAAAGACTCGCTTACTTTCTCTAAGTGCCTTGGCAGACTCGCTTCTGAGGTGCAAAGCACATACAATACTGAACCTTGCTGGAAACAGAAAATATGAACTTAACACCCAGGACACTTACTGATACTTGTTTTAGAAAAAAATTATATATGCTTACACTAAAAGAAAAAAAAAGCCATAACTTAAATCAACGATCTCCAGCTTTTAATACAAATATTTGTCTTACTTTTTTAGAGAGATTAATATAGAATTTTTCAAAGCTAGGTGTTTCCTAAGGAGCAAAGCGATGGTCACCAAATCCAACTGATGAAGATGGTGTCAAAATGACCGAGCGCTTGGACTTAGCAAAAGCTTGTTTGCCTATTGCACAGTTTTGGGCACCCTACAGTTGCAAATATATATATATTTTTAAGAGGTGAGCATCAAGTGGGGTCAGTCACTTTTGGGGAGCTTCCTAGCATTTGCCAAATGAACCCTTAGTTTGCACAAATACAGTTAAGGCAAGTACTCGGTGTCAAAACTACACTGGAGTAATCCTTAGAGAGACCTGGCTTGAAAATAGCTGGAGAGATGGTGTTTGTAAGGTGGGAATGCAAAGCTCAGCTCTGTCACGGAGCTCTGGTGTTCCCTGTGGTAGGGAATCTTATCTTGGAGGGAAGGTGATTTCCTGGACCACTTTGGATTGACGTTAGGACAGTGATGTTCTCTCTCCTTGAAAACTGCAGCCCATCTCCAAGGCAACCACAGCAGGGAAAAATAGCAGGATCAAACAGGTGGAATTCTAGTGCTTTGTCACTTGCTAAGTGCATCTTGGGTTTCTGAGAAAACACAGAACCTAAAATAGGTTCTTCCTTCACCTCAGGTAGTCTCTTTGCCTCTTTAGTCCTGTGTTTTCTCAAACCTGAAATGAAAATCAAGGTCTGTAACAAGTTAGCTTCTCTAGGGTGACAGACTGCGGCTTGGAAATCTTTGCTACAACTACTTTGGAATCCGGATTCTCTTTGCCCAACCCCCCTGTGATCTCTCTTGTCCCATTATGGGTCTTGCCACAGCTGTGGTGTTTTGGATGGAAAGGAATCTGCATGGGGTTTGTAACAGGCTGCCCTGTGGGGTCGCTCACTGCCCAGCTCCAGTGCAGTAGGTGATCAGTGTTATCAGTGTTGTCACGTTTGACTGGCACGAGGTGTCCCTTTTCAGGTCTCTGTGGTCCAGAGATAAAAGCTGATGGATGTACACAAGGCTGACTCTTAATCCCCCCAAATTACAGTTGAAACGGGGGTTAACATGTGACAGAACAGCCAGGCTTATGTTTTGTGGACCTCTGCTTGACTGAAAATGTGACGATTAGGTAGAAGTTAAAATACTGCGCAAAGAGCCTGCAAAACTTGCAAGCAACCATTGGTATAGATAGTTAACGAGTAGAGAAGTCCAGTGATAAACACGGGCTGCTTTTGGAGGCTAAAATCATTATTTTGAATTAAATACTTTATTTCAAAATAATCTGTACCTTATCAATTATTCTTCCATTGAGTTAAAATCTGTAGTCCATCAGGAGAAGCAGCTGAATATTTTGTCAAGTCTTCTGTCTCTCTGTTTCTTACCAGAATTGAGCACAGTTGTGCAAATCCAGTGTTGAACTGGAGAGTGCTCCACAATCCACATGAGCAGGACCAGGTGGGTCACACGTATGGAGCAAAGGCCGCCTTCCCTCAGATGTTTTAGCAAACTCCCAGTGTGACCAAGTCAGAGTCAAATCTTGTCTTGAGCTGGTCAGGATCTTGATGCTCCCTTGACTATGCACATGTGGGAGGAAGAGAAGGGAGATAGCCAGTACCTGAGATGAAGGTGGAAAAAACATGCAAATCATAAAGAGATTGAAGGAAAGGCAAATAAGGCATAAACATATTTAAGTTTCTTTGGTTGAGCACCTAAGATGTTGGGTCTCCCTGTACCTTTGTCCTCCTGCTGTTCGGAGGACTTATGTTCCCTGTCTGGCTGGAAGTGGAGGAGCCAGTCAGCAGTGTAGCCTGTGAATGCTGCTGCCAGGAATTGGGTAATAGGGAGAGAAGGAAGAGACTAGGCCCCAGGAGCACAATATGCCCATATGGGATTGAGCAAGGACTGTTCCCGTCCTGCTTAGGAGCTGGAGAAGGAGCTGCTCTTGCACACCCCAGCCTGCTCACGTGCTGTGTGGTATGTTAACCACAACAGCAGGCAAGGCAGGAGCTGTGGGGACAGACTGTGTGTGTTATTCAGCATTTATTTGCAGCTGCAGGGCTGTCGTGCACAAAGCTTGACATCTGGTCTGGACGTGACTAGGTAAGCCTAGTTTAGCCCCTCTGGAATAGTAGGGCTCGCTCTGGGCAGAGCCTTGGAGGCTTCTTATAGTTCAGGGCTAAATAATGTGCGAGACAAATGTCATTTCAGAACTGCAAGAGCAGGTGACATCCATCTGACTGTGCAACAGCAGCTTAACAGTGCAGTGCACATGCAGGAGCTAGGAACAGAGCCCAGCTAGGCGTGAGGCTGGCACTAAGCTAGCTTGGCCTTGCCCACATGAGCTCTGAGGCCAAGTTCATAGCTGGGAAACGTCTCAAGCTTCTAGTTCCAGAGGCACAGTYGTGCCCCAGCTGCAGGTATTAAAACTGTAAGTATTAAAAATGCCAGTAACCTTCATATCCAAGGAAAGCTGTTCTTGCTGAGTGGTCTGGGAGCTGCTCCAGGGACTCGGAAGCTGCTGAGCGCACTCAGTGGAGAGGAACGTTTTTCCCCTCGATAGAGCCAGCTCCTCACACGCAGCGAGACGAGGGGAGAGGGGCTTACGTCTGCACCCACGTAGCAGAGACCTCCRTCAGCAGCATTAGTGCTGTGCTTGGTTTGGTGCCGTGTACCCATAAATACTCGGAAGAGAAGATGGAGAAGGCGGAATTTGCTGTGGTATCTGTGCGTTGGCTGTGCTTTTACCTCTACTCTCTTCTTCAGATTTCTTGCAGCCAGCTCTAGAAAGTCAAAGGCATCTGCTGCAGTTCAGACTGAGAATGTMTCCTGTAGGAACTTAGTCCTGCGTGGCTAGTGTTTTCTTTGTGTATTTAGAATCTGGTGAGTCGAAAACATTTTTACCAAATAGTTTCTAGGCCTGTAATAAAAGCTTGGAGATCGTGATTTGCCTGACAGCTGTATGAACACCTTGTTCAACTGTACACTTGAAAATAACAACACAAGAGATACGTATGCAGTGTTTGGGATTCGGTATCCCTGTGCTCTTGATATTTGCAGCTTTCAGTAATTTTTCTTTTTCCTTCCAAAAGATGTGGGACCAGAAGCTCACGCGCGTTTACACTGTTGAAGTAAGGGCACGTGGAAGTGTGAGACACCAGTTGCCACGTTGAACAAGCTCGGTGGGGATCTAGTGCATGTGGTCCCAGGCCGGTGCATTTGCTGGAGGGCGGGCGAGGGGGACCTGCCCTCTTCCCAAATAAATCCCAGAGAAGTAACGGGGCTGTGGAGGGCACTTGTGGTGCCTGGATCCCGCTGCCCGSGCCTTGCAGCGCACGGAGGGCTGTAGGTGCTGCCCTTCGGCGCGCTCTGCGGCTCCCGCCGCGTTGGACCGTGCCTGTCACTGGGGTGGTCACCGCCCCGCGCTGGGATAGGGCAGACCCCATGGAATTAGTCACGTTCTGCCGTCCGTGCCGGTGTGGGCACTGTGTAGGATGCGCGGAAAAGCTGCAGCTGGTTTGCGAGTAGTTGTCGTTGGAGTCGGGGATCCAAGGGAACTGTGCGAGTGGGAAGAGAAGAGGGGAGCAGGAGGGCACGTCCCGCTCCCGCGGGTGGCAGYGAGGTAGGTGAGTGGGAGAAACCACATCCCTGGGCCCCTCGGTGAGCTTTTCTTTTCCTGCTTACTATGCAACGTAGGCCTCGGGCCTTTGGCTCCGGCTGTAGGATACGAGAGAGACGAGCCCTGTCCGTGCTCAGTATCCAGGGGCTGCCCGCTCTCCCTGCCTCCCTGCCACCCATTGACAGGTAAGAGACCTGTGTGCTGCTGTTGACCTCACTTACCTTTCACAGCGCCCTCTGCTCCTGCCCGTCCCAGCCCTCTTGGATCTCGGCGCACACTTCACTTGGAAACAAAACAAAACGCATCGTTTTGGGTAGCTTTTGTTTTCCTTCCAGCCTCTCCCTCCCTGCCCGACAGCTCTGTTGCTGTACACAGAGCTGTTTACCAAGCTGCAGCGTGAGTCCAGCCTTGTCTCTTCACTTGATCCAAGCGACTCCCTCGTGTTGTGGAGCTGCTTCCCTCGAGGGCTGCTCCCAGCCGCGCTGCTCAAGCCACTCGTGGCCCTCGTGCCGTCGCCTCTCCTCCTCCCCCGGCTCCTTCCCTTATCCGATGAGACCAACGTGGGTCCTTCCAAGTGTTAAACCTTGGGTTTCTCTTCTGCTCGTCTTACAGTATTCCCTCTTGCCAGGGTAAGATGGCAGCATAGATAAATATCAAAAGACTTTTTTTTTTTTTTTTTTAAGGAGCAAACTCCCTGGATTGTTCATAGAGTATTGTATTTTTAGGGGAAATTAATTTTTATAGCCACTAAACTATACTCATTATTTTTGTACGTTTGCAACTTGGGACGTTTTGCAGAGATGTGTCGCGGAGGGGACGCTTATTTTCACTGCTGTTTTACGGCTTCTCTCTGTGGAAATCTTGTTGCTCAGTGTCGCAGTGCCGCCCGCCTTGATCTGCAGCAACAGTGAATGGCTGGAATAAAACCATTGCCTTCAATAAAAGGCCATTTCCAAAGGCAAAAAAAATAAAGAAAAAAAGCTCTAACAGCAACACTAACCTTTCCTCCTCCTCTGGAGTCTTGGAAACACRTGGGAAAAAATCAGGTGCCCAATAGGACAGGCAGGATGAGAGCCCGTGCTGCAAGCTGACCGTGCCAATAGTGCTGCCCGTGGTAGTCACGCAGGGGGATTTGGGTTTCGAGTCTAAACAGCTTTTCATCTAAAAATAAAAATAAAAAAAGAGAAAAAACACGTTGAATGTCTGAAAATCTGCAACATGTTTATTTGAGAGATGTAAATAATGTATACAGATTGTTGTATGTGATGGGACAGAATATTTAAATTCTAGKTTTTTTTTCAATAAAAAACTGAAGGCTGTTTATAAGGAAAAAAAAAATAAATAGCTATGTTTGACCATGATTGTCTTTGGTTTTCCTTTCTTAATTTAGGAACAAGTTCCTCTTCCCTGTGTAGACGGATGTTTTTTCCTGTACACATGTGAGTGTGACCCCCAGCACTTATATTTTTGTGAATGCCTGGTCCGAATCTGAGAGTATTTGTCCTGCAGGCTGACACAGCAGCCATCAGACACCCTCCTCCCCTTGTTATTTATCTGTTTAATGCCCAGAATTTGCAGATCGAGGGCGGGTGGCAGAGACGTAGGTGATGGGCCCAGCTGTAAGCAGTGGCCGCGGCCGTCCCTGCTGTCACAAAAGCTGCTCCCGTGCCCAAAACGTTTTGAAGGGGTGGGGGGCGGTCGCTGCAAGGAGCGGGAACCCGGGGCCCCCCTTTGGCGTTGAGAACGGGGAAAGTCATCGCACAAGCGGCGGCCTCGGCGATCGATGCGCTGCGCGTGCCGCTGCTCTCCCCTGGCTCCCTAGCGCCGGGATCGGCCGCGCGCCYTTTCACCGCCCGCGGGCGGTGCGGGCGGGTGGGGCATCCGCTCTCGCGCCAGGGCCCCGCGCACGGCCTTTTTGGCCCCCGCGGCCGCCCGTAGGAGCCGCCGCGGGCGGGGCGCTGCCGTTGACGTCACGCCCCCGCCGCGCGCCAAATTCGAACGCGGCGGCGGGGCGCGCGCGCGCGGCGGCGGCGGAAGAGGCGGCCGTTATTTCCGTTGCGGCCGTTATTTCCGTTGGGCCCACTGGCGCCTCGCGTTCCTCGTCGCTCGCGGCTTGCGGGGCGAGCGTCTCGGCGCCGCCATGGCCACCCCTCCGAAGCGCGGGCGGCGCGAGGGCGCCGTCAAGAAGATCGCCGTCGAGGGCAACATCGGTGAGCGGCGCGGCCGCCTTGTCGGGCTCCCGGCGGGCGCGCAGGGCCTCCCCCCGCGCCCTGGGTGTGCGGGACGGGAGCGGGAGCGGRGCGGGGCCGCGCGGATCCCCGGGGCCGCGGGGATCTCCGCTGGGGAGGCCGGTTGTGTGGCCCGGAGAAGCCGGGGGACCCCRGGGGCCCTTACCCTGAAGCCCTGGGAATGGGAATTCCAGTTGGGTCACACCCTCTCAAAACACACTTAGTTCCCCGATATGGCTTCTCCGCTAGTTATTTTTCCTTASCATGAATGCCACTTTTATCACAGAATCCTAGGACCATAGACTGCTTAAGGTTGGAAGGGACCTCGGAGGCCATCGAGTCCAACCCCCCTGCWCACACAGGGTCACCCAGAGCCCGTGGCACAGGGCTGCGTCCAAGCGGGTTGTAAACATCTCCAGAGAAGGAGACTCCACAGCCTCTCTGGGCAGYCTGTKCCAGGGCTCTGGCACCCTCACTGTCAAAAAGTGTTTCCTTAAGTTCCTGTGGAACTTTTGGTGCCTCAGCTTGTGGCCGTTTCCTCTAGTCCTGTCACTGGCCACCACTGAAAAGAGGCCGCCCCCTCCTCCTCACTGCCTCCCTTGAGAGATTTGTACACCTTTAAGTGCAGGCTGTCACTCCGAGTTGTAATATTCAATGCTCCCTAAGGAGGAGGGGCCTCTGTAGCTGCTGTGAGGGGCAGGGCACTTGATAATGAGCCTTAATCAACGGGCTCCTCATAAAAACTAAGGGCAACATTGCCAAGAATTTCTGTTTCTCCACCCGTAAGGTTGTCGTTAACAGGGGGCCTCTCTCAGCTTGAAATGTCTCGGTTTCCTGAGGGTTTCAGCTGGTGGTTGGCTCTTCCCCCCAGTGCTGTGGGAAGTGAACTGGTAGGGCAAGCCTATGTCTTCGCTTCTTTTATGTTTGTTAAATGCTCTTTTGTCTGCAGTAATACGTGGAAGTTGGAACAACTTGGTGACTGAGATTGGACCCCTAAGTGTTTGTAAAACCCTGGGTGCTCTAGTCACAAGAGTAACTTTCTAGATATTACGTAGTTGCCCTAGACTGAGTCTCACTGTCACTTTGAACCTTTGTTAAATTTGGAGTTGCTGTGGTACTTCTTTAAAGCAAAGCCAAAACCTTCTCTCGTTATTCCTTGATGAGCTGGGATGAACAATGCTCTCCTGATTCAAACCTTGCAAAGTTACAGAACCTGAAAACAAATTCTGTAATAGTTAGAGGGATAGTTAGAGGGACAGAATCAGTGTTTTTTTGATTCCTCTTCCTCTTCCTCCAGCGGCTGGGAAGTCGACCTTTGTAGATATCCTCAAGCAAGCTGATGAAGACTGGGAAGTTGTTCCTGAGCCTGTAGCAAGATGGTGCAATGTTCAACAGAACGCTGAAGAGGATGGTGAGGTAGGATTAGAAAAGAAATGAGGGTGAAACTTTTAAACYGGTTAGTTAGTTTTCTAATTTCAGAAAAATACTTAGGAAATCAGAATATACTGCTAAGCTGTYTATAGCATGTTCTCCTCCTCAGTTATCCTTATTCTGAGTTGGAAAGTTCTAGTAGGTTGTTTGTTTCCTTTGCTTTGCTTGCTTGTGTTTCCTTTGGAGGAGGGGACAGGGAGTGGGAATAGGGAAGCAAATGGTTTTCAAAACCAGATGGAAATGTTTCCTTTAAGGACCTGATAGGCTACTCACTTGAAGTTCAAGTCTGTGAAAGATTTTGTGATTTAGGTATAATTCCAAATCCTGCACAATAATATCTGGCATTGAACCTACTGAGCTTCTGTTTTCTCCAGTGCCTTGTTTGGTTTGTAGATTTATGGCAGGAAACWTAATTCCTAAAATTTGTTAGAAACACTAAAACAAAAGTCCCTCTAGTAAAGATGAGGTAGTGCTTTGTTTKTGTCTGTGTCCACACGGTCTATCTCACAGTGGTGCTTGTGCTGTCAATGGCTCAAAAAATCTTGGTAGTTGGTTGTTTTTTTTTAATGTAGCTTCATGCCAAAAGATGTAGCTTTACCTTTTCATTTTATTTATATTTGTTGTCTCTTCGTTATACTGCAGCACAAAATAGAAGAAATCCATTCAAAATTTACTTCTGTTTCAGCTGTAACCTGAAATACTTCAGATGACTTAATATCAGGCTTTTTACCATAGCATTAATCAATGATGTTCTCGTGTTTTCCAGAGGGTGAGTTTATATCTTGTTGTTTTTGAATGATGAGGTGTAGATAGACAGAAGGACTTGGGAATGTGTTGCTGAAGCTACATCTTTTCAGACTGATTAGAGGGAGTGAGGACGTGTTCCTGSGTTTCCTCCATTGGGAAGGTGAGAGAGTAGGATGTTGTGGATAGAGGCTTCTGGGTGTGAGCAGCCACAGAGTTTGGCAGTGCCAGGTGACACAGAGTACTGAGTTGTTCTCAAAAAATGCCAAGGCAGAAGCAGTTGTCCTTGACMGTTGTGTTTGCAGAAGCAGTTGTCTTGGGTAGCTGTGTTTTCCAGTAGCACTGAGGCACAGCGCCTGCCCCTGCTAAGWGCCTCAAATGGTTCCCTGGAAGTTAGGTTCTGTTGGAGCTTTCACAGCAGTGCTTTGTGAGGTGGAGAAGGTCTTCTGCCTGGAATGCTTTCTGATCCTCCTGTGCAAGATGGGAGCATAATGAGCACATTGTTAATCTGTAATTAATTGAGGGAAGTGCTAAACTAGCCTGTCTACCAAGTTAGGCTCGCATTTGCTCAAGGAGCATGCATTGGCTAGTGTGCTGTTGACTTCTTGTTCCGAAAGCGTATCATGCTTTCACTGGTTTGCATGGAGCAAWCAAAGTTTCTTGATTGTTGCTGAGCCTTTTAAACCCCACAGACTCAGAATAGTTGTGTTTGTTCAGCTCAGAGCTGGAGCAGGAATTGAGTGCTTGTGTTTCTGTCCCTATATAGATAGGTTTGCAAGGTGAAGACGCAACMATAGACCTGAAATAGAGGCTGAACGGCTTGAATGCGGTGGAGTGGTTATGCTATAGTCTAACTTCCTACCCTTACCTACTCAGAGGGCTGCTCTCTTGTTTAAAACCAGGAGCTGAGCACGTCCCAGAGGAGCGGGGGCAACGTGCTGCGCATGATGTACGAGAAGCCGGAGCGCTGGTCCTTCACGTTCCAGACGTACGCGTGCCTCAGCAGGGTCCGCGCCCAGCTCCGCGCCCTCGACGGGAAGCTGCGCGAGGCCGACAACCCTGTCGTCTTCTTCGAGAGATCCGTCTACAGCGACAGGTATGTGGGGCCTGCGCTCGCTGCAGCGGAGAGGAAAGCCCTCCCAAATAAAACACCTGCCAAAATCCAAAGGAGCCTGTGCGTGGTTTCTTCTAAGACTGCTTTGGCTTTGATAGTGGTGAGTCACAAGAGTATCAATACATGGCTTAGCTTTTTAATAAGGTGTTGACAGTCAAGTCATTTTCACTGGTTTGAGGATTTATACATCTGGTGTATAGACTTGATTAAGTATGTGAAGTATCTTCTTTGTGAGCGGGTGTCATGTGTTTTGTGTGCTCCTGCTATCCTCTAAAGAAAAGGGGAAGGCCTTGAAGAACAGTCTCTTAATCTGCCATTTATTCTTGTTTACTTTCGTGCTCTTTAAAACAACTCTAGCTATTTCCTTTTGCCATTCCATTCAGGTTCTGATTTCATAAGCTCTGACTTAAACATTGAATCCTGTCATAATGTTGGAGGACTTCTTGTTTTCAACTACATTGCAAATAAATTATTCCAGTAAATAGCTCCAGTGACGAGGTAAAGAGACTAGGTGGCCTGTGGACTTTTCYGAACAGGTACCTGAGCTGCTCTTTGGAGACAACTGTCTGGACAACAGCAATAGAAATAGTTGCAGGATAAAAGGATGCCAGCTTGTCCAATGCAAATGTACCTCCAAGAAGTCACAGAATGACTGTGCCCACGGATGTTCTTGCCTCCTGCTGAGTACTTGCTGCAGGCACAGTGATACCCTTTTTCAAGCTTTCCTTTGCTCACAACAGTATTTTACGTTCGCAGGTACATCTTTGCAGCTAACTTATACGAGTCTGATTGTATGAATGAGACTGAATGGACTATTTACCAAGACTGGCACGACTGGATGAACAAGCAGTTTGGTCCAAGTCTAGTGCTGGATGGGATCATTTATCTCAGAGCTACTCCTGAGGTGAGGAATCAAAATTCGTGGTCTCATAGAGAGAGTGTGTGTGTGTGTGTGTGTGCGCGCGCGCACGCTCTATATGTTGTCTGTAAAGAAGTGTTTTTGTGTATGTGCCCACAATATTGTTTCTATAAACAAAACAAAAAAAACTAGTTATTAGCTGTATGTGTAGGCCCTTTTTATGAGGAAGGAATGCTATGCCTGTGAGCCATGCTAATAAGGTCATAGTTGTCTTGGGTTTTGCAGGAAATGTTTGCATTGGAAATTCTATCCCTTTGCTGCTCCTAGTTAACCACAGATATGATGAACTGTCCTCCTTGTTCCAGCAGCTGTGGAGGGAATGATTGGTCAGCAGTATTTTTATGAGAGTTTAAAAAAAAAAAAAGACAAATGAAGAAAAAAGAAAAAAATACTTACTGCAAGACTTGCTGCAGTGAGGGAGTCATCGGGGCTGGATGCTAAGACAYGATGATGCCTTCACGTATCTGCTTTCTGTGAGCTCCAGTAAATGGCCTGTAGCTGAGCTCTGTCACCCATCTGTGCAGGATTTTCCCCATCTAACCTGTTTCTGGGCTCTGGGATGTGGTTAGCTTGAGTGCTATGGGAGGCTGCTTTCTGAAATAGCAGACCATCTCCCTTTGAGATGGTTTGGCAGCTGAGATGGTGTCCTTGACCTTAGCTTAAAGGTTGGAATAAATTGTAGGGACATTTATTTTCAAAACCTTGAGTTAGCTTCACTCCTCATCATAACAGTCCTATTGTTTAGACTTCAGTACAGAGTGTAATGTTCCCCTGAAGGTTATATCGCTTGAATTAATAGTAACACAGTCTGGAAACTCCTAATATAAGAGTATTCTTCACACCTTATACAGCCTGGGTTGTTGTACATATAYGTTTTGTTGTTGTTGACTTGACAGCTTGCCAAGCAGAGTTACGGTATCTCAGACCTGTGTGTGTTTGCCAAACAGTTATGTTTAGGTTATTCTTGCTTGGTAGTTTTGTCCTAGCAACCCATATTTGTGTCCATTAAAAAAAATGTGATAATTGTTTCCAGATTATAAATATGTCATATCTAAATGATAAAACAAAACAGATAATAGCATTGGCAGTAAGAGCGAGTGAAAAATATGAGTTGTTGTAGGAGCATTGCTATAATAAGTACAATATTTTATAGTTGATGCCACAGGTACTGGCAGGGGAAGAAAGCCCTTTCATGTGGGACAAAATACCTTAGCCAGGTGAATGCTCTTGCTTTATGTGATGCTTTAGCACAATGTTTTCATGTTTCAGTATCTAATGTATTTTAAGAACGATAACTGCTAAATATCTCTCTTGAGGACGAAACTTAAAGGCACAAGAGGGAAAAACAGAGTTTTTGAAAGAGGTTATGGTGACTAAAAGATCACTTGGATACTTCCCCACTTTTGTTACTACTTTAGTTATTGTTGTGGACACCTCCCTAACGTCCCGTGCTGRAGTTGGTGGGAGGACTTCTTGAGCAGGCTCTCGGTTGTGCGTCACCTGCTCCCGCCTCGCACCTTGAAGTCAAGAATACCTGTCTAAATTGCCAAACAAAACAGTTGGGATTGCCGGGTTATTAAGGCTTTGGATGYGTTTGGGCTTGCAGCGAGTGATTGCCTTTGAAAACTGGGTGTCTTAAAGCCGGAAATACCAAACGCGATTTTGAAATGCCTCTCTGTCATGTCATACCCGCATTACTGGGCTCSTTCTGGTCCTCCTTTTATTTAAAGCTTATTTGAGACCTTTCCTTGGAATGTTTTGTTTGTTTGTTTAGTTTGGCCTCCTTTTCTTTCGTTAGGAAAGGTGTAGTCAGTGGGTTATGTCAGCTACATGTGGAATAAGGTTTCCACTCTCCTAAACTTGGTCAGTGATTTACATATTCAGCTTAGGCCGGGTGGCATATTTAGCCCGGTACGAAGAGGTTGGCAAAACCAGCCTTGGCAGACTAGGCTTCCTCTTTCTTCTGCAAACACACCCCATCTACGTATACGTATTTATCGAGATATAAAACATATGTATTTTGTCTTTAGAAATGCTTAAATAGGATTTACTTGCGTGGAAGAGATGAAGAGCAAGAAATTCCCATTGAATATCTGGAGAAGCTTCACTACAAGCAYGAAAGTTGGCTTCAGCACAGAACATTGCGGTAGGATTTGTTTAGTGATCACTCTAAGATCAGTAAATCTTTGTAGGGGTGTTTCCTAATAATTTTTTTTGCACTAGGGAAGCTTAAGCTTTTCTACTGAAATGCCAAATGAAACCTCAAGAAGATGTCTCTCTATTCTTCTGTAGTAGTTTTGGGATACTGGGTTTGTCAGGTATTTCTGGGATACCCCATGTGATTGATCTCTTTCCGTCTAGAACTCTGATTTCTAGACTATTTAATTAATGATATATTGCCATATTTGATTGAGTTTAACATGAGCTGCTGGGGGAACTGCATGCCCAAGAATCAGTAGTTTATCCTAGAAGCTTCACTGTACATCTAAGCTTCTTTGATTTGTATATTCAAAATTCATGGCTGTATTTAAAAACACTTGGAAAATTTTCAAGATGTGTACTCTGATAGCARCTCTCACAATGTCTGCCTATTTGCCATTAGTAATATTTCTTTCTTGGCTCCTATTCCAATACAGAACTGATTTTGAATATCTGCAGGAAATACCTATTTTAACGTTAGATGTTAATGAAGACTTCAAAGGCAAAAAGGACAGATATGATCACATGACTGAAAAGGTAAACTTGGACAAGCAGAACAAATTGATCGTGATGATTAATTGCCAGCTTGCTGAATGAATGCAGAATCCTTCTTGTGTCTCAGMTTGTTATGTTCTTGGAAGTTTGACTGATGTTTGAACCTGTGTATCCGTGTAGTTTCCTATGTAGCGTTTGAAATGACTTGAAAACAAGTAATTGGAGATTATTTTCACTCTTGTCTTTGTCTGCGAATCCAATGACTCCTTTTACCTAATCCTCAGTACTTTAAGTGAGCTCTTAATTGCTAAGTCYTGCTTCTGAGAGTGTACAGGTATCCTCAGAAATGTGGTAGGACTCTGAGAAAAAGGAGCTGTTGAGGGTGAGAAAGAAGAATGCTGTTCTGAGTCAGGTGTCTTGGGCAGAATGTGTGAAAATGCAGCGCAACACCCCTACAACAGGCAATTAAAGGATAACTTCCCTAAACCTGTAGCTGAGCTTTAACCCAAAGTAGCGACTATTCTGGTCTTTGCAGGCTTTTCTAGCTAAGTAAAGGAGAGTATGGGATGAATCCTTCTAGCTCTTGGTAAGTTTGTAATAATAAACAGCTCTACAGCTWATGAAAAAAAAGATCCTTTGCCCTAAAAATAATAGGCTTCACTGTGTAATCATTTTTCTAAAATATTTAAGCCATGGAGTTAAATTCACATAATGAGTAGTTATGTAACTTGCTACAATACTGCTAAGTTAGGGGCTTTTTGGTTAGCTTGGCAGTACCATCAAAACTGTCCTTTTCAGCCATGTTTTTTTTGCTGTTATTCCAATTTTTTTACTGTCATTCCAAATCCTTTCAGTAAACTTTACTTCAAGACTTAAAAGAAAAAAAAAAAAAAAAAAAAACCTGCAAGAATTGTTCAGTATAGAGGAAATACCAGCTGAAATTTGTTTACAGAAGATGAGGTAATTTTTAGTTAGCCTGAAAAGGTGCTTTATATATTTATTTTATAAAGGTATATAAAAGCTTTTTAAGGTTAGGCCAACCCATCAAGACCTCTGGTATGCTAACTGTTAGCTTTCTAGTGTTTGAATCGGGAGGAGATCCAGCTGAGGATAAGGTGATTTTTTTGTATTGTTGCAGTAAGGTGCAGAGTGTAGCAATGATATTGTGCTTTATTTTGTGCTCTTCAGCACAACTTGTGCACCTTGGGGGAAAAGCTGCTGTGTCCTTKGATTTAAAGCAGGTTTCGTGATCTTTTTGTGATCTTTTTACCCTCTAGAGTGTGGTTTTGTCCCATGGGGACCAAGAAGCTGTTTCCTTCTCATCTCYGATGTGCTCCCTTCCAAAGACCAGACCTGAAATTGTCTAACGTAAATCAGTATGAAGGGCTTTGTCAGGTGATGCTTTTAAAGCGAGTGGCTTTCTCGTGACACCCTTATAGTTAGAATATTTGCACAGTTCTGTGTTCCTGTCTCCACAGGAAGGAGGTTTCACTTTTTCTGTCTTGAGCCTTGATGTAGGAAAGGAAGGCTCAAAATTTCAGAAAGTGATTGAAGGTTTGTTTCCATTTCCCAGCACGAATTTGAACAAGATGCTTGGACCGATTGTTTCCAGATGTGGGCCTATGTATGYTAGCCCTTGCCAATAGCTTGACAGCCTTATTCTGCTGTCAGCTATTGGTTTCTTTCTCTACCATTGTCCAACTTGAGCAGATGGAGTGGCAAGCGCTCCCAGTTCGGACTGCCTTAGAAGGTAGCTGCTAGGATGTTCCTCAGCGTGAGAGAGGAGCTTCATTGCTAGTCACAGCCTTCCTTGGCTCCTGTAGTTGCTCAGTTGTTGTGYTCTTCAAGGAAGGTCCTTTGGCCCTCTCTACCATCCCACCCTGCTGCGCTGCTTTAAACAGAGGCAGTGGTGACTGCTCCACACTCAGCCTGGGAGTGGGCAGAGGGAAGAAGTCATGCATGCCTGTGGCGAGAAGGGAGCTCCCAGCCCTGTGTCTTCCGCAACTGGGGATATGACAGTTTGGGACTTGAACGTGAGAGGCTGTTGTGTGTGGTAGCTGCACCTTGAAGGGCTGTACCCGTCATCGCCTTGGCATGCGGCCTGCCTTGCATCCCGCTTGCAAGGCAGTTGTAAGGCTCGTTTGAGGTGCTGTGTTGGGTCTCTGTAGGATCACAGACCTCTGATTCAAGGCTCTAGATCCCACTCTGTGGTTCAGAACCTCAGCATTARCTTCTAGTCCTTGTAGCCCTTGGGTCTGTTGTTAAAATACTGGAAARCTGTGTTAACCATCAACGGCAACACCTTTAGCACTGTCCCTCAGTATCCAATCCAAGTGCTATGCCCTTGCTAGAGAGGGTTTTGTTTCTTTTCCAGCCTCTCATTCTGAGCAACATGCTAACTACATGCATTGCACACTTCATTAACAGAGGACATTAACAGCATCACGAGCAGGTGTGACCTAGTGTGTTATAAACTAAAGAGCCTTTGACATAATGATTATCTCCCTTCCGTTTAGAGTCCCTTAAATTAAATCACTTGTGTAGGACTGTACTTTAGCAGCTCTGGAGAAACCAGCACCAGTGCAATGTGGAGTTCTCCATGCCTGCTAAAGTACAGCTGTGATGACTGCACAAGTTCTTAACAGACAAGAAACTGCCTAGCCAGCCCTAATTTAGTCTACCTAATGATTATATCCTGCAATAGAGCATGAAGAAYTGGGGACAGAAACGTAATTGCTGTGTATTTGTCTTGATAAATACTTTGTTCGCTTGACAATATTTGTTTCTTTTTGCAGGTCAAAGAGTTTTTGAGCACGCTATAATCCTCTTGGAAGCATAGGCAGAATCAAACAGTTGCAAACGTCTGTGAGATCAAAGTCTGAAGTACAGCCTCTGCTTTCATAGAGGGCCTCTGGAGAGGCAGGACTCAACCCTGTTGATTAATTGTGAGGAACAAACCGACTTTCTGTCGAGAGAAATAAATAAACCTAGGTCTGCTCACTGTTATATAAAATAACAGGCAAMAAAAGTCTTGAAGGGACTTGAATCTAGAGCTTCCAGATGTTAGGTGTCTTTGTAATTGGAGAAGTTCTGGAATATTTCATGTTTTCATTTATTTTACTCCCAGTATCTACTTCATTTCCAGCAAGGTAGTGGTTTCTCTAGAACTGTTGTTGACTTCTTTCATTGATGTGATTTGCTGCTGATGACTTAACATTCTGAGAAAGAAAACAGTGACAATTATTTCTGCTGGTGAGAGTATTAATAGATTTTTTTTCAAAGTAAAATAAGATCTGACTATTTTGATAGGTGAAACACTTAGAATTCACGGATTTGAAACCAAAAGCTGAACTGCTGAAATTTGGAAGCTGTTAGATAGGATTTTTGTTTTTGTTGTCATGGTGCACTGTGAACTAGGATATTAAGAGTTTTTTTTTTCATTTCTATTGCATGTTGCTTTGGGTTTTAAACTTTTTTTTTTAACTTTTTATGATATGGGGTCATTTTTGGTAGTTGCAATCATCTTTTTCTGTAGATGAGTAGGTTCTCTTGATGGATATTGCAAGGAAAAGAAGAACATTTTGCCARTGGCCTTCATTGCTAAACGATGTGTCCCTAAACATACTTGACTGCTTTTTAGATATCGGAGGGGGGTTCCTGTTTTTATTTCAGCTTCTCCATTTGTGAACTGGGACCTCGGGGTATTTATAGGTGATTCTGCAGTTACACAGATCAGACCTTCCCTTCATGGGCATGTTGCCTTAGGAAGGGGACAAGWTTGTGGCGTAGCTGCTGTTTTATACATTGCTTTTATTTTATTGTTTTGTGACTGTCACCTTTGTTTCAGGTGCAGAAATAATCTAAATTATACAGGCTATGCATTTTTCAAGCATTGTATTTTAGGCGCTGTTCTGCTTTAAACCTTTCTGAATGATCACGCAGTTGACTTTTTGAAGGCAATTTTGGCTTGTAAAACATTTTCCTGTCCCTGTGGTGCCTGTGATGTCTGCTAATTTGAGAAGAAATGTTCTCCTTTGTGGTTGGAGTTGTGCTGGCATCTAATTATTGACTGAGAAATAAAAACRGATAGAAAAACTTGGCTGATGCTTAATATTTTTAGCACCTTCATGTTACATGGCAAATAATGTGTAGGTTGCTGGTCCACATACTGGTACAACGAGTGAATTCAAGCTCAGGGTGTTTGATATACAAGTGCACTAACCTGTCTGAAGCAGTATAGCGGGCTTCAGACTTTTCCACGGGTGGAAAACGTGCTTACTTGGGCAGAGGCATAGGATCATGGTAAATAGTGGGTGTGTGTATAATTTGCTAAGCAGTAAAATTGCTTTGTAAAATAATTGTTACAGTGGAAATTTGTTTTTTGGGGTATTATGGTAAAAATGCTTGTTTTGGACTTGCAGATTGTCTGATAAAAGGAGCGCTTTTTGAGATCTTTGCTGTAGACATGAAGTGAGATGGATGAGGATTCAGTTAAGATAAAATTAAAGCACATGGCAGGAACTTTCCCAATATTCTTGGCAACAGCCTGAAAGGTAACAGCTTATTCTGACTAAAAATGCAGTATTTCCTATGGTTTGAGCTGTCGAAACCATGAATTCAATTACAGGAGTTGGAGTGACAAGGCTCRCTTGGAGGAGTAAGCGGCTCTGAGGTCTAATGAAGACTTTATTTTTCCAAACTCGTCACCGTGYGCACACAAATTCCGTGGCACATTATCTGCATCCCGCTCCAGAGCGCTTGACAAAATCTCCGAGTGCCAAGTTGGGATTCAAAGGAGCAACCAATTACTAGAATGGTTTTAATTGCTGGGCACAAAATAAAATGTTTCAGGGCTTTGATAATAGCTGGACTGAAGCACAAGCAGCTCCAGTTAGTTGTATGTAGGACAGATGCAGCCCAAGTGCAAGTGGAGGGGACCTTGTGCTGTCCTGCCTGGGCTTCAGCTCGAACCTCGCAGCTCCAGCAGCGCCTCCGATTGGGAAGTCTGCCGGTAATCTTTGCTTTTCCTACACCTATTTCCAGGCTAGCCTAAATGGGATGGTCGGGTTTGTACATTAGGGAAGACAAAAGGTTTCTGGGATCTGTTTTTTGGAGATGATGCTGGTTGTTCTTTTTCCCCTTTTTTAATGTGTGGTGTGAGGTTTTTTTTTTTTTTTTTTTGGTTTTTCAGTCTGAGTGCTGTACCCCTCTCGCTTCCCTCGGGTAGGATATCTATGGAATGTTCTGTCTTGGATTGAGAGCTATCATGAGTGGGAAACAAAATCACTGTGCAAGTTTAACTATATTTCTTTCCACTTAGGATACAGATTGAGATGTTCATGGGCAGCATAGGTTCTGTTTTGCTTGCTGTACAAGCACACATACARTAGACCTAGTATTACCTCTGTTTTTTCAGTCCTCTTAGTTCTGTTCTCTAGAGTGGATTTTAACTGCTCTTTATGTGAATGCTACTTAGAACAACAGTTTTTTTCTTAGTGCATGTGAAATATTTCTGCTCTTTGTTTATTTAAGCTGACTTGATGATATTATGGTAGTATATAAAATGTGGTTAGTGTTGAGATGTTTCTGTTGGCAGCCATGAAAGATGTCAGAAATGTATTTGTGAGGAGAGTGCCATAGGACTGTACCATGAGCTCCTAACTGCCAAATGGAGGGAAATSTGTGTAGTAATAATGAAATTATAACTTAGGGAAAGGAAATGTGTGGAATGACCGGTGTCCAGAGGTKGTGGCACAGCTGGGCATACGGGCTCCAAGGCTGTTTCCCAGCTCCTGTTCATACTCGGGGTGCGACCTTGAGCAAATCAGTCTCTGCTTTAGGCTTTTGGTCTTTAAAATATTGATATCTCCCTATCTCTCCAGGAGGCTGGAGGATTACTTGGTTAATATTTATGTGCTGCTTTGTAGGTCTAAAGTGCCCTATTAAATAATTGAGACGCAAAAAACATGGCAGTGTTTTTAGGTTCTTTGTTAGGGTGTTTCGCTGCCCTCCGGAAAGGGGCAACTGGCCGGGCTCGTGGCTGGGGGAGCTGGTTTATTTGCTCGCAGTCGGATTGAAAGCTCCCCGGGAAGCGTCGCTTGCGTTGCCCCTTTTCCATTCACGAGCTCCGCCGCGAGGAGMGGCACCGGCTCCGGGCGGAGGAAGCGGCCGCTGCGGTTGGTGTGGGGCCGTGGCAGGAGCGGGGCCGTGGTGCCAGGGCCCCCGAGGGCTCGTGTGTCCAGCCCCCGCTCCCGTTGGATTAACTAACAGAGGAGCTAAGGGGTTGTGACCCCAGYGGGGATCTGTGCAGCCACCAGCTGCTCCGCTCCGAGTGGATATTAGCGCCTGGCTCACGCTAATCCTGCTCCCTCTGGCTCCTGGCACTCACGTAGGGCTAGGCCCAAAGCGGGGCAGCGCAGCGAGCAACCCCCATGCTGCCAAGGGGTGCGGGAAAATCAGGGAATTAGGAATTGGCCTAAGGGCAGCTGTGCTTAGTGCTTAATGTGTATAGTGTGCAGAGGCTCAAGTCTGGGCTGTTGCCTGCCAATAATTTTTTTGTTGTCATTTTGCTGATAGATCAAGGTTTCAGCTCAGAGATAGAGATAATATGACAAGCATAAATAAGAATATAGATGTGCTGTTATGGCCCATTTCTTGGATTTCTACTGGCTCCTTCTCCCAGGTGGGATACACRTTACACATGTGTGAACTGTCAGAARGGCAAGTAAGTGCAGCCTGTGCTGCTGAGCTGTTGGGTGCTGTTGGCTGGCTGATAACCAGGCAGCCTTGGAAATGTGTGGCTGGTCTGGAGAGCCCGTTGCAGAGGGCTCTGTCGGCCCCCTTCCCTGCCCTGTCTCCAGAATCCCCCTCCTGGGAGTTAATGCTTCTTCTGGCTTCAGTTTCGTRTAAGATGTTGAAACTTGTCTTCAAGTAACTCTCAGCAGCCTTACCTTGTATAACTTTCTAAGACTCGCTGAAGCCCAAATCCTACTAGCATGCAGCTGCCCTGTGGATGTGCTATCTGCTGTTTGGGTTAATATCTTGTGTTGCCTCATTCTGAGTTCTGAGCAGTATCTTTCKCTGAGCATCATTCCTGATAGGGGACTTCATTCCATCCTTTGGCTTCTTTCCTTGGACTCCTTTCTGCTGGTCTTCCTTATTGCATCTCTATTTTTTCCTTCAATTTAGCCCAGCTATAGCTGGGTTTCTTGTGCCTTCTTCCTGGCTTCAGCACTCTCTGTGCTCTGATAAGGTGCTCTGATCTCCCATCCACCTGTGGCTTTGCCTGTGGCGCTCTCAAACCCGTGGCAGCCGCTCTGCGGCGCGTTTCTCTGGCGCTGCCTCTCCGTGGGGCTGGCTGGGGCCCCCGGCGACCTGCCGGGCCGGGGACAGCGGCCGCGGGTCAGCGCCTGCTTGGTTGCAGCAAGCGCGGCCGGGCTGCCTGCCGAGTCGMGCTGAGCCGAGCCGCCGCGCAGAGCGGCGCCTCGCTGCCCCTCGGCTCGCCTTGCCAGCCCCACGGCCTGTGTGGGGAGAGCCCTTTGCAATGCTCCAGCAGAGCTGGGTAGGTAGTTCATGCTCTTGGTTGTTTTCCTTGGTTTTTTTCCCCCTTTGTCAATAGTTTCTCTCCTGTCCCTGCCTTGCTGTTGTGTAGGGGAAGGCAGCACGTCTGCTTGTTTGCAGCTCCTTTTAATGGGGTTTCTGCTGCAGTGTGCTGTGGCCACGGCCTGCGGGCCTGCCGTGGCTTTCCCGGTGTGCCCTCGCTGCCATTACTTGTGAACTGTGCTTGAAATAGTCAGACTTGTGGATGGGAGGTTGATTGCTGTCTATTGTGGCAAAGAAACATGGCCCCTTCCAGGGAAAGGGGCAGTTAGCTGMGCTTCCAGGAGGCTTCAAGTACTCTGCTCTTGAACAGTCTCAGTTTCTAACAGGCCTCCTGCCGTTGTGTAGACACAAAGCATGAGGTTTTCATAGCTCAGAAATGCTCTGCTGCGCTCGCACACTGAGGTTTGTATTATGTACTCATCCCACACTCGTACATCCCAGCAGGCAGGAGCTCCTCTTGGTTCTCTTAGCTGGGCCTCGTGTTTGGCTCCGTGTGGCATCCCGTCCCGTGCAGCACTGCAGTGTGGATGGGACCTACGAGTGGTGCTGCCAAGGGGCATGTTATTCTTCAGCAGTAACTTCGTACTCTACCTGCCAAACCGTATTAGTAACTTCTCAGTGAGTAAAAACCCATACTCGTGTGGTAGAGCTTGATCATATTTATTTGTAGTTTAGATGTTTGAAGTAATGGCTCCTTACGGCATCCTTTAATTGCGTGMAATCAGAGGATGCATTTGGTGGGGCTGCTGGTATTTGTCCGGGCTGGAGATGAGTCACTAACTCTGTCTGAAAAGCTCCTTTTCKCCCAGGTTTGTTCACCCATGATAGACTCTAAGTGATAATGCATCTTAGTTTTATGTTTTATTGACAGGCTGTGCTTGCCCGTTGCTCTCAGATAAGGACATCTCCAGCCCTGGGTTGCACTCTCGGCTTTAATTCTGGCTCTTAGCGTTGCTTCTGGGATTGCCTTGATGATCCAACCGGAATTGTATTGGCAGTAGGTCAGGAAGCACTGTGGAAAACGAAGCACTTGCCTCTCAGCCCTGGTGGTGCGTGGACCAAAGGTCTCTGGATCTGCTCAAGTCACTCTGCGGATCTGCCTTTTTCTTGCTTTTTGTCAGGAATTCTCTTCATCTCTGCATTCGTTGAGAGGTTTCGTGTTTTTTGCTTGTTTTTCTTCTGTGGTTATCTCCTGATTTTGTGGTATGACCTCCTTTTCTTTCCATGTCAGTCATGCTGCTGCCTGTGGACTGAACCCACTGTGTTTCCCTTACTATAACATATCCCCTGGATGGTGATGCTTGCACTGCTCTCTCTCTCACCTAACCTCCCAAGCTCCTGCGCTTGGA